AATGCAGTATTTGAAAGTGGCGCCCGAATTGCAGCATGGCGCCAGTTGTCCAAAATCCTATGGTACCAAAGGAGGGGTTTGGAAAAAGGGTGCCAGGCCGAGAATGGGATGCAGCCAAAACAGCAAAAGATAGACCAGGGATCGAGCCCTGGCGAAGTCCGTAACACTTACAGTCATTATAGCTGTATTTGGGGTATCTTTCAGTCTACATACAGCAATAATGACCATATGTTGTATTCGGGTGAAGAAGGTAGTCCAGTGGTGCCTGGTGTGATGGGGGAGACCTTGATAGCGGACTTCACATGGTGACTGTCTGGCAGATCTGTCATCAGACCATCTGCAACATGTCAGAGGTGTCAGCAACAGCTGTGAACTAGAGGTGGTGGTATGTGTGTTTGAGAGAGAGAGAGAGAGAGAGAGAGAGAGAGAGAGAGAGAGAGAGAGAGAGAGAGAGAGAGAGAGAGAGGCGAGGTTTTGTGGGCGGAGAGAGAAGAGGGAAGGGGGAGGGGAAGATGGGGTTTTGCATCACGTATGCATTTGTGCACTTGATGCCCTGTCTGTTGAGCTGGGAGGTTATCGAGCTTGGGGATTTTGAATGGATGCTAGAAAGGGTAACGAGGATGTGGATATGGTCGACCTTACGTGTTCATAAAAGTTCTCTGCACCTCCAGCGCTAAGGATAAGACGAGTTATGAAGACCAGTGCGGGAGAGGAAGCTAATGTAGGTAGCAAGTTCATCTTTTCACGGGTGCAGAAGGGGTATATCCTTTCAAGAGGAACCAGTCAATGCCCTTGTCCCAGGGTCCCTCGGCCGTGGGTGAGTTCAACTTATGTCAGTGATGCTGGATCCGATCTCCATATAATTAAATGCTATTTTTTTCGTTAAAAAAGGGAAAAAAACGATCCCTGCTCCCTTTTTTTTCTTTGTTCTTCCTCAGCATATAGTATTGTCCAGTTTGGCTCTTTCTAAGAGGTCGGGTAATGCTTTTGTCTGGCAAATTTCTGCAGGAATGAACTCGCCGTTGCCATACGATTTAGAAGGTTCGGTGATGGTAGTCCAGGCAGAGGCTATTAGGGAAGCATTGACAGAAGTTGCTTCTGGGAGTAATGATAATGACAGCTCAAGCGCGAACAACAGCGAATGGGCATCTTCAGAAGATGAAGGAGATGAGATGGATCATGATCTAAGTGGTAAGCCTGCAGTCTATGCAATTGCTGACTGGACTATGATAACTTTGTAAGTGGGAGTGGCTGTCGTCTGTCTTTCCTCACTGTTTTCATATGCTTGTCTTTGATTTTGCTGTGTGTGTGTGTGTGTGCTGTCTCTTATACACATCTAGATGTGTATAAGAGACAGCTCCACCTCCTCCTCCTCCTCCTCCTCCTCCTCTCCTCTTCTTCTTTGTTGCGCTGTTGATGCCCCGATGATCGCTCCGCTGTCCACCGTTCTAGTTATGCCTTTTTTCTCTTTTATTATTGGTAAATTCGACGTGCAGGGCTCTCTCAGTATTGTGTATGTATCTGGACTGTAATCGGACCAAGATCAGTCGAAAAGGTCCTAGTCTGAATACGCCCTCAGTGAAGAGAAAGTTCCGCGCTCTTTCCCCGAACACAACGCAAACCGATCACGAATGTATACAAGCTGTCCCGGTCCGATACTGTCACGATGAGGCTGCGTTGTGTTCGAGGGAAGGCGGGAGTTGAGTGAGAGTATTGCCTAAACTACGCCGGAGGAGGAGCGAGCGGAGACAAGACGACAAAAACGCAAAAGCGCGGGAGATCGCGAGCGCCAAAGCGGAGAGCCATTTTTCAGGCAGGTACACGTGGCACCGATCCCGACAACCAGCCGAAAGGCGGCAGGTACACGTTGCAGCAATCCCGACGACGACGATGTCAAAAGGTGGGCAGGTACGCGTGGCACCGATCCCGACAACAGGCCAAAAGAAGGCGGCAGGTGCACTTGGCACCGATCCCGACAACAAGCCAAAAGGGGGCAGGTACAAGTGGCACCAATCCCGACGACGATGGCAAAAGGTGGCAGGTACACACGTGGCATCGATCCCGACAACAAGGCAAAAAAAGGCGGCAGGTACACTTGGCACCGATCCCGACAACAATGGCAAAAGCAAGGCTGCAGGTACACGTGGCACCAATCGCGACAACAATAATGGCAAAAACGGCGGCAGGTACACGTGGCGCCAATCGCGGCAGTAAGGGCAGAAAGACGGCAGGTACACGTGGCGCCCAATCTTCTTGACAATAATGGCAAAAAAGGCGGCAGGTAGATGTGGCGCCAATCGCGAAAATAATGGCAAAAAAAAGGCGGCAGGTACACGTGGCGCCTGTACCTGCCCTATCGCGGCAATAAGGGCAAAAGAGGCGGCAGGTACACTTTGCGCCAATAGCGACATCGGGCATGGCACCAATCACGACAACAACGGGAAAAGGCGGCAGGTACACGTGGCGCCAAATAGCAGCAGCACGACACGACGAGGCCTTCCCCTCCTTTTTCTTCTTCTTCTTTGTCTTCTTCTTCGTCTTCTTCTTCGTCTTCTTCTTCGTCTTCTCCTCGTTGCTGCTCATTGCTGCGTTTTGATTACCTGTCCTTATGTCTTCTCGATGTCGGAGATTGTGTCAAAGAACTCGACAAGATGCAGTGTGGAGCACCACCTTCTCTTCCTCCTCCTCCTCCTCCTCCTCCTCCTCCTCCAACCCCTCCTCCTCGTCTTTGTCGGAGTCGTGTTCTTTCTCCTCCTCCTCTCGCTTTTCACCTTATCCACCCTCTCTCTCTCTCTCATGCCTCCTTGGGCTGGAGGCTCCGACTCTTCCCCACATGAGCCTAGTGGCATAGCAACAGTAGCGAGGAGGAGAGATGATGAGAGATGAGGAGAGAGAGGAGGAGAGAGGAGGAGAGAGAAGAGGAGGAGAGAGGAGGAGAGAGGAGGAGAGAGGAGGAGAGCGGAGGAGGCGAAGGAAGAGGTAGAAGATAAGGTAGAAGAGGAGGTAGAAGGAGAATTCGGGCTCGTTTCATTGCTGGGCAAATGTTGAAATGTATCAGCTGAGGAGTGTATGATCAGCGATTTGTTTCTGGCGTTTCGCGCGTTTGGCGAGTTTCTGCATTGCTGGACAAATGAAGAAAAGGTGGAAAACAAAGAAAAGGGGGAAAACAAANAGAGAGAGAGAGAGAGAGAGAGAGAGAGAGAGAGAGAGAGAGAGAGAGAGAGAGAGAGAGGTATTGGTTGCAGTTATGTGGAGTTGGGATTGCGGAAACTAACCCAGGCTACCAGCCGGGCCGCCCGGGTCACCCTGCTTTCCCGGGCGACCCGGCCGTGCAAGGACCAGGGAAGGTCCCGGAAAAAGGGGAAAAAAAAACGAAAGAAAAACTATGTTATGCAGCAAAATAAACTGAACAACTTTTGGCTCAGGGTGACATTGAAATTCTTTACTAAAATTAAAAATAAAAAATAAAAAAATTTGGGCCCGTCCGGGAAAGTGGTCCCGGGCCACTCTGGTAGCCTAGTAACTAACACTATGATCCTGTCCTTGGTGTCGATGGTGGTGATCCCGATCGATGGTTGTCTGTGCTGACGAGAAGGTTCAGAAAGTGTGGAGAATGGCAAGCGAAGGTTGAGTTTTGAGGAGCAGAGGCGTAAACACTACGACGAGTATCGAAAGGTGAAAGAGCTGGTTGCACAAGGGAAGAGAATTGATGATGATGATGACGATTCCGGAGAGAATGGAAAAGAAAATGGACCAGAACCAGGTGAGAATCCGCCGCAGTCGTTCCCATCTGCTAGATAATGTGGGGTTGGACACTGTGGATAGGTGCTTGCCCGAGGCTCGCTCCGGCTACGTACTGGGCCTGCCGGCTGAAAATGTTGTTGATTATAATATATGTATTGTGGCGAGCCTTGTACGTGAGAGGCACGGTGAAAGGGGAGTCAAAAGAAGAATGAGTAAAATGAATGGTTTCACTGTGCCCTTCATGTTTGTCTTGTTTTTTTTGTTTTTGTTTTTTGTTTTTTTTGCCGTTTGTTTCGCAAATTGCGCTCTTTTAGTTCATAGTTATGCGACAATATATATCAGACCTAGCTTTCCAGTGGTGACCGAATCGGATCTGCGGGCAGATCTACCAAATGCTTGTGGGTTGACAGCCACAAATGTCTGCCCACCTCAATGGCTTATCAGCGTCAATGTTATACTGCTTCCCAATTTGTTATGATTGCTTATCAGCTTGACGCTTTTGAAAATCAGTTGTTGTATGACCATAACTCTACCTCAGGAGGGGCTTTACTGTAAATGTCTTACAACTACCGGTAGCATTCCACGGTCACCACCTTCTTATGCATCATGCGACGCCAGGTGATGTGACCTTAATGACCATCCTCATATTTCTGCCTGTATTTTGCACAGACGCGGTCATTATATGGCACTCATTCGTGCAGCTGCCCAGTGGGAACTGTGGGATGGTGGGACAATGACTCAGGCTATTTTCAACATAAATGAATTTCTGTGTGCATTACCGAATCATACTTTATTCTGGATTATTGATCGACTCTCGTGTGACACCTGTCGGGACAGGGACGGCGGTGCATCTTGGCTGCGGAATTCATCACCTATGCCATCAACATTATCAATCTATTGCAGCCGCCGCCGTCTGTGCCGAAGGGTGTCCAACATTTCCTCATTGTACACGTCCCTATCACCCAGATATTCGTTGTGCCTTTTGTGCTCAAGGACGCTATCAGGACTGCATGATGCCGCACTGTGATGAACGTCCTGCTGTTTTTTTTACATGTGGACAGCATGTCCTTTGTCAGGACTGTTTTGATGGGATGGTCCGTGCTAGCCGTCCTGCTGAATGCTGTGCTGAAGTAGCTCTCCTTGGGTATCCTTGTGAACATCCACGTCATYCTCAGCRTGCCTGTCCTRTCTGCCGGGGTGGGGGCTCCTCTTCCTAACTGGTCAATAGAATCAAGCGATCAGGAACAACACTAATTGTAGGACAGATAAAAGAAAGAAAGGAAAAAAGTAAAAATTTCTGGAGAAAAGAAAAAGAAAACAAGAAAAAAGAAAAGAAGAAAAAAGAAAAAAAGAAAAAAATATGTTGAACTTTGTATTGGCAGTGGCAATTGGTTTATCTGTGGGATGTGTCATTTGCTTTCTTTTCCTTTGTCTTTTCTTTGACCTTTCTCTTTCTCTTGCCTCTGTGAGGTCTGGTTTCCTCCTCCTCACTTCTTTACCTCTTTTTTTGCCTTTTGGCTGCGTGCAAGGGGGTCCTTGTGACACACGGGGATGGGGGCAGGCCAGCGCTCAACCTGTCATCCACGTGGCTGGCCTTGTATGTAAGAGGTGATGAACAGGTGGGGCTTTCCTTCCTTCCTTTTTTTCCTTTCCTTGTTTTGCTTTTTTTCGCGTTCGTGCTCTGATTCACAGTGTGACAATATATTCGGACTTCTGACAAGTCAGTGAAACTCTGATGAAACTTTCTGTCACAGCCCCTCTGTTTCCTGTCCGTTTTCTTCCTCTTCCCCCCCCCCCCCCCCCTCTTTTCTTGTTTAGAGACCTGCGCCCTTGAGATATCCTTCATTTGAATTGACGTAGCGACCGGCATGAGGTAATTCAGTATTGCAGTATTTTTTTACTATTTTACTCATGTGCTTCCCGTGGAGTTCGAACTCAGGTCTGTATTTCATCAACCATTCAGTGGTGTGCCAACTGAGCCAGGCCAGTGGAGTTCGAACTCTCGCCTGTATTTCAACATTTTAGTGGTGTACCAACAGAGCTAGGCCAGTCAGTGGTTTTCTTCCTTTTCGCCTACTACGGTTCACTGGGCAATTTTCTACGAAGATATTATACGTATGTATGGTCTGCTTCAATGTACTTATGGTGGTCTCGCTTTCTTTCCTTCCTTGCTTTCTTTCTTTATTTTTATGCGCGCTGCCTACTGACAGCTGACCAGTAGGTGTCGATGGGTGGATTGGTCAGCTGGTAGGCTGCCGACCAATCAACTGGTGTCTACTGTGTGGGTCTGATTACTGTGGTCTGCTTTGATTTTCTTCACAGGTACCCTTGAGGGCAGCGGCTGTTGCCCATCTCAGGGTATCAGTTGTGAGGAAGTTTTGATGCTTAACCGCAACAGGGGTTAGGGTGGGTGATCTTTTATTACAGTATCATTGGCTGGGGAACTCTGCAGACTGCAGAGGGCTCACCCTCCTGCTGTGTTGGTGGAACTCCGACGGAACAGTCTGTCACAGCCCCTCGTTGGTTGTCCTATTCTCCCTCTCTGCCTATGGTTCACCAGGCAGTTCTCTATGACAGTATATATATATATATACAGTATTATACACATATATCGTTAGAGTTTCACGGAATCATCGGGAGGTTCGGGATCCTGATGACAGTCTCCCTCTCTGCCCACGGTTTACGGGGCAGCTCGGTTCCTTCATTTTCGCCAGCAATCGACATGCCTTTTGTCGGGGGTGTATGGTGGGCACGCTCTATGACAGCCGTTGTGGCAACCGTTGTACTCAGAATGCTCAGCTAGGTCCTTCCATGTGCTCATCCCCCTAATCCTTACAATGTATGTCCTCTCTGTCATCAAGGACAGACTCATTCTTGAGCCTTTTCTTATCCTCTCCTTTGCCTTCATCTTCAGTCCACGCTCCGTACTTGCTCTTACTTTTCCTTTGTCCTTCTTTGCTCGTCTTCTCTCCACCTCTCTCTTTCACTTTGTTTCTCCCCTCCCCCCTTACTCTGCCTCTTTCTCACAGCGTACAAGTGGGGCCGTTATGGCACACGGGGATGCGCCTCATAGCCCAAGTTGCGCACGTGCGCCTCATAGCGCATGCACACGCGATGCGACGCATTTACAAAAAAAAAAAAAAAAAAAAAAAAAAAAAAGAAAAGAAAAGAAAAGAAAAGAAAAAGGGGGCAGGTTGCTGTAACCAAACGTGTCCCTTCCTTTTGAAAATTGTAAGTGCACAGAAAAAAAAAAAAAAAAAATGGGGCCACATACTCCTCGTTGGATTTTGTCTCTTTTTCCAAAGGTCCCCTCCTGCAACGAATTACCAGGGATCCCATGCATTTGGAAGGATGTTCATTGAACTGCTGGAGGAACATGAGCAGGCCAGCAATATATTCTGGATTCCGATTCAGGTCTGTGTTCCAAGAGTTATGGGTTACAAATTTACTACAGACACTACAGTAGCTGTCTCGTTCTTTTGTTTTTCCTTTTCTTACGTGCCGTGGCCCTAAAGCCCTAAGGGGCTGGCTCCACTCATCACAAAAGAAAAACATATGGCTTGTATGCTTCCAGTTTCTAGGAGAAGATTCATTCTACGGTAGTTTTGCACATTTGGTGAGTTGTGGAGTGAAGCCCTGGAAATCACATGCCGAGTTAGTACGTCGGTAACCCATAACCGCCGAAACACGGACGTGAATTCGAAGCTACACCATATATAGCCGGCTCGTCGCATGTCACCACATCAGCAGCGTTCACCAACACACGCAATCAGCGAAACCCTGTTGGAATCGGAATGGTAATATGGAAGCTGGAGCCTGCTATCTTACTGAAAGGGTCGGATTCAGATGGAAAAAGCTTGATGACGATCTCAAACAGCTACATACCCGCTGTTCGACACAATCTCGTCCTACTACTACTGCTCGTCCCCCGCATCCATCTTACCTTCTTCCTCTTTCTCATCGTCCTTGTTTGTTGTAGCCGTATTGGCCTCCTTTGTGGCGTCCCTCCCCCTCAGACAGAGAGAGGCAGAGGGATCCTCGACCCACGGCACCTGCTCCTCCGCCCTTGTCGGAAACATGCACGGACCGATGAAGCAGGACGTGGAATGCAGCGTGCCAAAAACATGCACGGACTAACGAAGCAGGAAGCGGGACCTTTTGCAAATCCCGCGCGTGTGGGACCGGCATGGGACCAACGGGCGTGCAGTTGTCTGTTCCAGATCTTTCCAGAACCGTGCGTGCGAAAAAAAAAAAAAAAAAAAAAATCCGAGAAGTCTAAACGACTCTCAGTTCGATCATCGACGAATCGATGATAGTATATCAAGGCGGTCACCCTTTTCAGAACCCCCCCCCCCCCCACCCCACACACACACACAAAAAAAAAAAAAAAGGCAAGGGGTGGGACGGTCCATAGCAGATAGCTGTGCCCCCCTTGACAGGCGACTAGGACCACAAGGGCAAGGCTGAAACCCTGTTCTACATCTCTTCTCTTGCTTGAACTCATGCTTGCGGTGATAATAAGCAACCGGACTGACGCCCCCCAGAACAGAAGATGCCCCCCCAGAGTAGAAGGGGCCTTGTTTTTTTTTTTTTTTTTTTTTTTTTTTTTTTTTTTTTTTTTAATTACAGGGAGAAGGAAAAGAAGAAGAATGGAAGGTGCCTTGGCCAGCATCTCTCCTTCCTTTCTGAAGTCTGTTATTCAACATGAAGCTGCACAGAACTTGGTCCCTAATACTCCCTATTGTCCATCTTTCTTTTTTTTCTTTTCATTCTTTTTGTTTATTCATGTGTAGTAGCACCAGGGCTCAGTCCATATTTTGACTATTTTATATCCACAGGTGAATGAGGGAAGCGCCTTCACAGTGACATATACTCAACTGGTTTTGATTGTTGGTCTGTTTACAAGTTTTTGAACTTCGAAGTACACAGACGTCGGACGAAGAAGTAGGGTATCGGGTTGTGAAAAACTTCAAAAAAGGTTTTTAGTACTTTTTACGTGTTTGAGGAAGAACTCCGAAGGAAGTGGATTTGTGTATGGGCTAACGTTTGTGGAGGTGGTTGGTGTTTGCCGGTCTTGTTGCGTCGCAGAACGTGCCACCTGGAATTCAGTGAAGGGGGGCCCAGTTGGTTCTACCGGATGATGCGGACAAAAGTGCGGAAGCGGTTCCTTGGACTTGGAATCCGTGAGACGAACAAGCAGTTTGGCAATGATCGGCGTAGCATGTGTAGTATGTATAAATGATCTGTGGTGACTGTGGTAGTTATTTGCTGCAGATTTCCTGTTGTAGTGTTTTTTTTTTTTTTTCGTTCAGCCATGAGTATTTGTGGGGGGTTGGTTGGGGGGGGGGGGGGGGGGGGGGGGGGGGGGGGGGGGGGGGGGGGGGGGGGGGGGGGGGATGATAGAGATCAAAAGCTACAAAGGAGAAAAGGACAGGGTTAAGCCATAATCGGGGTTTTCGATTGGAATGGTGGAGGTGGTCAATCAAGATGGAGGACCTGTGAGTTGCAGAGGGGATGGGTGGGTGGGTGGTTGTGCATGAGGTGTGGTTGGCAGTACAACGACTGTGCTTGCTGTGGCAGCAGATTGGTGCTGTGGAAAGCCATTCGGAGAAAACCGGCTTGTATTTGATGCAGTTCTAAATGGCTAGACACGGTATATGGTACCGACATTATAGCACCGTGTATGCTGAATGAAGGCTTCGTTCACGATCAGTTCCTTGTATTCTTCCCCAAGTGTTGCTGGGGTAGAGAAAGAGACCTGGGAAGTCAAGGCGTGTCCAAATGCTCTTGATTGTTAACAATGAAGCCCCCATGTGTCTGGGTTAATAATGGATATTGGTCAGTGATGTATGGGAAAGAAAGCAGGGGGATCCATGTGGATCACAACAAGGGGGTGGGGGGTGGGCTGCGAGGGTTGGGGGAGTGGGTGGAACCCCTCCTGCAGGGGAGGTCTTTGTATGCCTCAGGATTGGGGTGCCTGTGTGTCTGAGGTGAGGACCTGAGAATCGGCGGCGAGCTCATGAGTCATACCAAGTAAGGTGGGTATGGGACCCCTCCTGCAGGGAGGTTTTTGTAGGCCCCAGGATTGAGGTGCCTGTGCGTCTCAGGTGAGGGTCTGAAAAGCGGAGGTAAGCTCAGGAGTCGTACCAAGTAAGGCGGAATAATGGATCCTGTTCATTGTTCACGAAAAGGTTTCGCTGAACTTCACTGCACACAGGCTCCTTTAGCATCCGGCAGGAGCAATGAAGGCTGCAAATGTGTTGTCATAAACAAGTGCCTCTTGCCTTTCGCACATGGTATCTCTTTTTCTTGACTGTGTGTGTGTGTGTGGGCGTGTGTGTGTTTGGGCGTGTGGGCGTGTGTGTGTGTCTATGTGCACACGCGTGGGCGTGTGTGTATATGGAGGCAGTGGGTTAGGCCACCGTGTGTGTGTGTGTGTGTGTGTGTGTGCGTGTGCGTGTGTGTGTGTGTGTGTGTGGTGTGTGTGCACACGTGGGCGTGCGTGTATATGGAGGGGGTGGGTTAGGCCACCATGTCTATAGTGTACAGCATATAGCATCACATTTAGCACGCCCTTGGGCTTTTCTCTTGTTTATCGCAGACCATGGCCAACGCTGAACTTAGGAGGTACTTGCACACTGGACTGCCCGCTGTCGCTGAATGTGACAGTTGGTATGGCGAGATCTCATTCTTGAGAGTCGTGTGCGATTGGTATTGCTCCTTACTTGTTACATCTGATTCCCTTTTATTGCCTTGGCTTTGACACAAAGTGCATGCTGCCTCTGACTCAATTCCAGTCCTTAGCAAGTATCATGTTGCATGTCTTTGCCTTTACCGCCTCCCCCGACACACACTTGCACATCCTTTTCCCTGCATCTCCCTCTAGTGAAAGGTGTTTCCCTGTGATCCTACATTTGGCCCGCCACCTCTCTTCCCCCCCGACCTCCGCCTTGTCCCCCCAGCTTCTTCGAGGCAGTCGATACAAGAGGTTGCATTCAGCCAGTTTCTATATTTTCCAAAAGAAAAAGAAAGTACTGGGGCAGGCTGGGCAAAAAAGGAGTGTGAGAAGGGGCAATTTTTCACCTTCATCATTTTGGTAAAGACAGTTCAGTTTTTTCTCAATAAAAGAAGAAAAAACACTTTTCAAAAGTGTTACTCTCCTCCCTCGTGTCGCTTTTGCCCACTGGATACTGGATACATTGATATGTCATTGCCGTTGTTTAGTTCTTCCTATGAAAGGGACAGCTTTGTGATTGCAGCTCATTTTGATCGGACTCATGAAATTCAATGGTGGGCATTGGTGGTAGCACTGGTAGGGTATGGGACACTTTTTTTTTTTTCCTTCATGTTTTTGGGATTTTTTTTTTCTTCTTCATGGTTTTGGGGTAGCCAGGAGAGGAAAGATGATTGTGCTTATGATACCAACTTATATGTGGTACCCATGTCAACTGAACATGACAGCAATGAGGAGAAGCCTAGAAGGTGATGGGGGAAATTGAAAGCCTCCTAAGAGGCCGAACTATGGGGTAGCAAGGGTTGGAGCAATGAGGAGAGGGATGGATAACATCCCAACTATGGTGCCACATGGGCCTCGAGGAAGGGGGAAAAGATCCATCCGGATAAAAAATGTTGGGTGTGAAAGTGTAATCCTCTTGACTCTGAGAAGGGAGGGGGGTAAAATAAAAAAAAGGAAGAGAAGGGAGGGGGGTAGCATATGGTATTGTGGTTATGGAAAGACCATTTGGGTGGTGAAGACAGGATGAACGTTCAAGCACCAGTACACCATACATCGGCCTGCGGATGTCAGGACATCTTTATTTCTGTTTCTTTTCCTGGTTTCTAGGCTTGGCTTGCTTTGGGAGAGATTAAAAAGAGGCCAGTTACTGTACTGATTGCTATGGGCAGACTATGGTAGCTCAGATCCAAATGGGGGGCGATTATGTGCTTCATATGGATTGTTTATGGGGCAAACTTTCTTCAAGCGGCATTCAATGCGGTCATCGATCATGTCGTGGAGGCTAATGGTCGATCGGTAGATGACCTGATGGTGAGGCTGTTCAGCAAAGTAAAAATCAGTATCCTTTGTGAGCACGACTGGTTCGAAGTCATTCATGATTTCTGCTATGATACGAGTCCAACTCACAATGTGATAGACTGGCAGATGCAGTCCACTGGTAGACAAGGAAATGCGAAGGGAGATGACATGGGAGATGGCGGGGGAAACGATGGGAGGACTGGTTCAGGAGGAGCTGGTTGGGGAACTTAATGGTGGAGATGATGGGGGACATGGCAGGCGGGTACGGCCCTCCCGAGCAGCAAGCAAGCCTGAACTCAGTGGCCCTCGTCACGGTGAGGGTCCACAGCTTCCGGACTAGGTCCCATGTCTGCGAAGTCAATATCCACCGCATGGTGACGTCGGACCTGCTGCTCGACATGCCCCGCTGATAGCGAGATGACTGAAGTGGAAGGGAGCGTTGCGAGGCTGGAGGTCGGGTATATCTGCTGCAGCAGTGACTTCTGCCGTACAACGTATGGGGGAGCACTCATAGGGGCTGTATGAACGGCTGTTCATAGGGGACGTACGGCCATTCGTACTGGCTCATATGAGACAGTATGACGGGGCGGGGGGGGAATGGGCGGCGGTGTGTGTTTGTGTGTGTGTGTGTGTGTGTGTGTGTGTGTGTGTGTGTGTGTGTGTGTG